AATTTTTAAACTGCTGTTTCCATAAAATATAACTTTTCCTATGCATTTCAACGTCCTTCGCATCAATCAAAATTTTCAAACTTCTTATACCAAGTGATTTTCAAAACTTTACAATGCGCTTATGATTTCTGCATACAATTGTATGAATCCCAAGGAAATGCTATTCTAGATTTAGTACATGAATGAAAAGGAATTTCGCTGTTTGAATACTTGGAAAATGGTCGCGTTATTTAGGACAAAAAATTCTTTGACATCATCTTCTTTTTTGCAATTCGAAAGCCAATCCTAGATTACAGTAACTTCTGTCGTCTTTTTGGAGTAACCACGGTTGTAGAGATTTGTTTAGCAATTTCTAGCGTATTCGCAGTGCGTGTAACGAACAAACAATTGCATTTATGCTTGGGGGAGATAAAACCGAAAGTTAAGAAATAATATGACAAGTATGCGTGATCATATTATAAACTACAGCCAAAAATAAAAAGCACGTGAAGCCAAAGAATCTGAAGGAGTATGAGACAACAAAAGAAACAAGACCTTAGTTTGCAGTAAACAGTTTCTGCTCTTGAGTTCAGCCACTTGTGCATTCTTTTTTGCCATTTTGGGATAGCACATATGCGAATGTAACACTTAGGCGATATATTTTGTTTTTTTTTTGTTTTGAGAGATACGTATTATAAAGAAGTCTATTTGTCATTAGTACAGTACGATAAAGCGACGAAGATCTTCTAGTCTAAAGAGGATTTTCGACATGCTGCAACGGTCAGCGACGACTGACTGTAACGAGGTGGAGGCGACTCAACACGGACCCCCACCCTCCCGCCGGCACGTCTCCTTAGATGTGAAGCGAGCAAAACGGTGAGATTTCACCTCCCAGAAAAAACCGAAAAAGTCGGGTCGAACAAAGGAGGGAGCGCACCTCATCAACAAAGGACCGAAAACGTGAGCCGAACAAAAGAAAGGGCTCTCCCTCCACATGTCGTAAGACAAAGGCGCACTTTACACCAAAAGTACGGCCAGCACGGACATTGGTCTTGAGGATGAACAAACAATGGGCAAGCGTATGAAAGGACAAATCAGCATTGGAACGGGAGGTCATTATGTAGATATGGAGATTTTGATAGCTCGCGTAGGCAGTTCTTGCCATGTATATGTACGCTGTCCT